AATCGAGTTCCATCCTTTTGGGAGACCTTTTATGAGTACCGCAAAAACAAAAATAGATGTAGCAAATGGTACTTTCTCTATGGAGTTCGATGGTGAGGTGATCAACTGTAATATCTTTGAAGCTATGCGTTATCCTAGTGATATTCATTCTTTAAATTTCATAGATGTTATTGATTCATGTACTAATGATTGTTTTGAGTTGTCAAGCCAGGATGTGTTAACCACCATCTTGAGCAAGCATTTTGATGAGACAAGGATCAAGAATCTGGCTGATAAGTACACTTTGGAGGATGAGTTGATTGAAGCAATCAATTCCTTGTAAAAAGCACAACCTATGAGAGTTGAACCACCCCGCATGAAGCTAAAAAATGCCGATTCGAAACTCCTTCCATCCGTAGTACAACCAACGAGTCTTGACTTGAAAACTCTTCCCGATCATCTCAAGTGTGCCTATCTTGGAGAGGAAGATACATCACCGGTGATAATTTCAAAAAAGATAGAAAAAGAAGAAGAAAAAGAGTTGATTGGAATTTTGAAAAAGTATAAGGAGGCTATTGGTTGGACCATTGCGGACATAAAGGGGTTGAGTCCATCATTATGCATGCATAAAATATTAATGGAAGAGGACTTTAAGCCCACCTGCGAAGCCCAAAGGAGATTGCATCCACCTATGATGGAGGTGGTTAAAATAGAGATCATGAAGCTCTTGAATGTAGGTGTCATCTATCCCATTTCTGATAGTAAGTGGGTAAGTCACATGCAAGTTGTCCAAAAAAAAAGGTAGAGTAACCGTTGTCAAAAACTCTGAAGGGGATTTGGTACCCACCTATGTGAAAACGGGTGGATGGTTTGTATCGATTATAGGAAGTTGAATTCTTCCACCCGCAAAGACCACTTCCCTTTGTCATTCATCGATCAGATGTTAGAAAGATTGGTTGGAAAATCTCACTATTGCTGCCTTGATGGTTTTTCTGGTTTTCACTAAATTCTGGTTGCCCCGGAAGACCAAGAGAAAACCACATTCACATGTCCTTTTGGCACCTTTGCGTATAGACGCATGCCCTTCGACATGTGCAATGCACCCACAACTTTCCAAAGATGTATGGTGAGCATATTTTTAGAATATGTCAAAAATATCATAGAGGTTTTCATGGACGATTTTACTGTTTATGGAAATTCTTTTGATGAATGTTTGCAAAATCTTACAAAAGTGCATTGACACGAACCTAGTCCTTAATTATGAAAAATGTCACTTTATGGTTGACAAGGGGTTGATACGTGGACATGCGGTGTCACAAAAAGGTTTAGAAGTCAATTAGGACAAAATTGATGTTATTAAGAGCTTATCATACCCGAAAAATGTTCAGGAAGTGTGTTCTTTTCTTGGTCATGAAGGTTTCTATCAGTGGTTCATTAAGGATTTTTCCAAAATCACGGTGCTGATGTGTCAAATTTTACAAAAGGAAGCCAATTTTGAGTTTGATGATGCATGCAAAGGTGCATTTGATCATTTGAAGCATTTATTGACATCTGCCCCCATCATTCAACCGCCAAATTGGGATCTCGCATTCGAGATCATGTGCGATGCTAGCAGTCCCGTAGTTAGGGCGGTTTTGGGACAAAAGGTGAGTCGAGCTCATTATGTCATTTACTATGCATCAAAGACCCTTGATAGTGCACAAAGAAACTACACCACAACAGAGAAATATTTTCTTTTTATTGTCTTTGCATTAGAGAAGTTTCGACAGTACCTCCTTAGAACCAAAGTGATCATATATTCGGACCATGCAACTATAAAGCATTTACTTACCAAGAAAGATTCGAAGTTGATGTTAATATGGTGGATGTTGCTTTTGCAAGAGTTCGATATTGAGATCAAGGATAAAAGTGGGAAAGAGAATTTAGTTGCGGATCATCTAAGCCGCATTGTATCACCAGAAGATGGTATACCAATCTGTGACACATTTCCAGAGGAGCACTTATTTGTAGCCAAAAAAGCACCATGGTATGCAGATATCGTCAATTACTTGATCACAAATCAATTTCCCTCGGATTCCACCAGTTGGCAAAAGGATAAAATCAAGAAAGATGCCAAGCAATATGTATAGGATGAGCCTTACCTTTGGAAGTATTGTGCAGACCAAATGATCCGAAGGTGTGTTGAGTAAAAATAGGTACAATCCATCCTTAACTTTTGTCATTCCTATGCTTGTGGAGGTAACTTTGGACCCCAAAGGACAGCTAGAAAAGTCTTAGATAGTGGATTCTTTTAGCCTACCATTTTTCACGATTCTTATGTGTTATGTGCACATTGTGATAAGTGCCAAAGATCAGGGTCCTTAAGCTCTAAGAACCAAATGCCCCTTACCCCCATTTTAGTACGTGAGATCTTTGATGTATGTGGTATTGAATTTATGGGACCATTTCCGCCCTCTTTCGGTTGTTCATATATTTTGTTGGTGGTGGACTATGTGTCCAAATGGGTGGAGGCCAAAGCCACCTGCACTAATGATTCCAAAGTTGTGGTGGATTTTCTTAAGGAACATATTTTCTCCCGGTTTGGCACTCCAAAGGCTCTCATAAGTGACCGTGGGACTCATTTTTGCAAATGGATACTTGAAGCCATCCTGAAGAAGTATGGGGTAACTCATAAAGTCTCAACAACCTATCACCCCTAAACCAATGGGCAAGCAGAGGTATCAAACAGGAAATCAAAAGCATTTTGGAGAAAACAGTCAATACAAAACGCAAAGACCGGATCACACATCTTGATGATGCTTTGTGGGTGTACCACACTGCATACAAAACTCCAATTAGGATGTCTCCATACCGCATTGCTTTTGGAAATCCATGTCGATTACCCGTTGAGTTGGAGCATAGAGCCTATTGGGCAATCAAGCAGTTCAACATGGATCTAAGTGAATTGGGAAAGAAGAGGAAACTTGACAAAGAAGAACTTGAGGAGATCCGTAATGAAGCATATGAGAATGAAGTCCTTTACAAAGAAAGGACAAAAGCCTACCATGACAAGATGATTGGACACAAGGTATTTGAAAAAGGTCAAAAGGTGTTACTCTACCATTCTCGTTTTAAATTGATTCCTGGGAAATTAAGGTCCCGTTGGGTGGGACCATTTGTTGTCACTAATGTTTTTGAGCATGGTGCAATAGAAATCACAAGTGAAAAAAACCGGGAAGATCTTTAAGGTAAACGATAGTCTTTTGAAGCCTTATTATGAAGAATTTCAAGTCAAAAACGAAGAAGTGGAGGAAGTAACGGATCCAAAGTACCAAGATTGACAAATAGTTAGGGCCCAAGTCGAGCCAACGACATTAAAAGTAGGTGGCTAACCGGGAGGCAACCTGGGGATATTTTTGTCATTTCTTATTTTTCCATCATATTTTCTTCGTTTTCAAGTCTCCAAGTTGTTTCTCATTTTTAAATAGGGTAAAAAAATCATTTTCCAGGCAGTAGTGGATTAGCGGGTTGCAATTTCAAAAAGTGAAAAAATCAAAAACTTTGGCCTTTACAGAGGTTTAGACGGCCGTGTAAACTTATGCTTACGGTTTACATGGGCCGTGTAAACGACCAAACTAGAACATATCAGACGCCTCATTTACACGACCGTGCAAACGTAAAAACAGAGCTGGATAATTTTAAAGGCTAAAATCGACTTTTGTTGCTCATTCTTTTCACAGAACCTGTGATTCTTCTCCTCCCTACTTCCCCGTTCGAAAAAACCCCTCAAAAACCACTCCATCTTCCTCAATTTTGCTTCAAAAAATAAGCTCCAAGGTATGAAATTCTTATCTTTTCTTCGTCTTCTTTATCATACATCTTAATTTCACCCAATAATGGCCGATTTGAGGGTTTTGAGCAAACCCTAGATTTTTTTAGTCTCCCAATTTCGTGCTAATGTTTGTAATATCTTGTAGGATAGGCTTGGGGAAGCATTGGACATCACCCTACCACCATTTTCAAGAAGAAATTGGTATATTTGCTCCTAATTCTTTACTTTGTGCATATAGTTAGAACCATATTGTTTTAGGGTGATCTTTGGTGATATTGCCAGTTCTTGTGCATACTTTTGAGTTCAAAATTTTCCAACATTATGTGCAAAACTTTGTTGAATTCATTTGGGCAATGGCTTCCCGTGGAAAAAGGGCTAGAATTGGGACCTCACATATGGGTGGTCAAGAGACCAATGATGAACAAGACCAATATTCCATGGAAAACCCCTATGAATTTGGTCTTATTTTTTAGTCCAATCAACAAGAGATTTTGCATGCAAGCCTTATTCAAAGGGTAAAAGGGGCACAAAAATTTGTGGACATCCAAGCCCTTAAATACCTTCATATTATAAAGGTGTCCACAAGCTCTTGAAGAACACTGGTTGGGAAGGTCTATTAAATCTCCTTGCTTTAAGCTATCAAACACCCATGTTGGAACTCTTGTCATCCATCACCTTTGATTACCAAGCACATTTACTTACTTTCCATTTTCTCAATCAATCCCATAAGATTCATGCTGACATCCTTTGTGATATTATTGGTGCTCCAAAGGCGAAAAGTGATGTGTATACAACAAAGGGCAGAAAAAATGTTATATTTGAGCAAAGCTGCGAAAGATTTTGGAGAAGCATCTCTTGTGAAAATGAGTTTTAGTCGAGCATGAAAAAGGCTTCTAGTATTATTCATTCGGTTCTTAAAGTCACCCACCGGATCATTGCTTCTCACCGGTTTCCTCAAGAAGAGATTAGCAAGGCCAACAAGAAATAATTGGAGGTCTCGTGGTGCATGATTCACAAGCCTGAGGAAGTTCCTCACTTTGAGTGTTGGGTAATTCAGAAAATACTCAGAAAATCCTTGAGCAATGGTGGTCAGCTTCATTGTGGAGGCATGGTCTCTATTATAGCTGAACATCTTGGCCTCCATTTACCTAACAACCCAACCAATGTAATTATGGACCGTACTCGTTTATCACTTGATGTTATGGAGACCATGCACCTCTTTCACCGCAATCCCAACGGGGATGTTCATTGGATCGTTGATGGTAAAAAGTATCTACACATTGGCAACCGGAATAAGAAGATACTCGCTTTAGCGAATGACATCCCTTCTACAAATTGGCATCTCCAATCCAACTTGGGTGTCACTGCAACCTGTAGACCTCCGACCACCATTCCTAATCCTCCTGCTGCAACTGCAACTGCAGGTGCTTCCAACTCCTCTCGACCTATTCCTTTTCCTAAACACAACATTTACATGGGCGAATTTGCACGCTTAGACCACCATTACACGAGCTTACAGCAGGAGGTAGGAGAGATTTACACGGGCGTTGCTGAAAACACTTCGAAATTTGAAGACTATCGGAATCTTCAGGAAGAGCATTGGGCCCAGTAGGAGTTGCGGTGGGCTGAGTTCGATCAGCGATGGGCAGCTCAAGAGAAACACAACTGCAATGTACACTATTTGATGAGTGACCATCATCGATTGCTTGTCCTTCCCACGCAACAGCGACCATCATCATCCCGACCCCGGTGGCCTCCATATTATCCTACTGATTATCCTTTATAGTTCCCACCATGTCCACCACCGCCCGTCCCTCAATAGGCTGGCTATGTATCTCTCCAAGCATCTAGGACGATGCTTATTTTAAGCTTGGGGAGGGGCATTCATCCATGTATAAATCCTGTTGCATGTAGGTTGCATGTAATTTTGTACATATTGCATTAATTTCCATTTTCTTTTTCATTTTTCTACATAGAAAATTTTTCAAAAACCAAAAAGATTTTCTTTCTATTCTAATTTTAATATTTTTGCATTTTGCATCTAAATTTTTGAATTGCACTTAATTCTTAAAAAACAATTGATCCAATCCCAAGCAACCAAATCTTCTCAAAATAGTTGAGCCTGTAAGAGAGTCCTATGCCTTGAGATTAGACTTGCTCTTTTTATTGAAAATATCAAAAGAAAGCTAATCGGACATGAACACACCTCCCAAAGCTACTTGTGAAAAACAGAAAGTGAGAAGATTGTCAACATTGGAGCATAACAGCAGGTATGAGTCAATTCTTTGGGAAATTTCAAGAATATCGAAATCTTCAGGAAGAGCGTTGGGCCCAGCAGGAGTTGCGGTGGGCTGAGTTCGATCTGCGATGGGCAGCTCAAGAGCAACACAACTGCAATGTACACTATTTGATGAGTGACCTTCATTGATTGCTTGTCCTTCCCATGCAACAACGATCATCATCATCCCAACACCGGTGGCCTCCATATTATCCTACTGATTATCCTTCACAGTTCCCACCATGTCCACCACCGCCTGTCCCTCAATAGGATGGCTATGTCTCTCTCTAAGCATCTAGGACGATGCTTATTTTAAGCTTGGGGAGGGGCATTTATCCATGCATAAATCCCGTTGCATGTTGGTTGCATGTAATTTTGTACATATTGCATTAATTTCCATTTTCTTTTTCATTTTTCTACATAGAAAAGTTTTTAAAAACCAAAAAGATTTTCTTTCTATTCTAATTTTAATATTTTTGCATTTTGCATCTAAATTTTTGCATTGCATTTAATTCTTAAAAAAAATTGATCCAATCCCAAGCAACCAAATCTTCTCAAAATAGTTGAGCCGGTAAGAGAGTCCTATGCCTTGAGATTAGACTTGCTCTTTTTATTGAAAATCTCAAAGCAAGCTAATCGTACATGAACACACCTCCCAAAGCTACTTGTGCAAAACAGAAAGTGTGAAGATTGTCAACATTGGAGCATAACAGCAGGTATGAGTCAATTCTTTGGGACGCATGACTGATCTTATTAGTAGTAAATGCTCAATTTAACTCAAAATGCCAAATTCAAAATTTCATAAAAAGAATACAAAATTTCAATATCCCAAGCCTTCTAGCGCTCTAAAAAGTCCTTTCTACTCATTCCCTTTTATATACCCTGCTTGGGGACATATTTCCAACTATACCTATGGGTCTTTGCGTGTTAACTTCAGTCCCCCGAAAAATGTCTAGAAGCCCTCACAGTAATAGACTGTGAGATGTCCCACAATAGAAAAGTGAGGGATGAAAATATAAAGAAATAGGCCTAGAAAATAAATTTATAAGAGTGTTATATGTTATCTTTGTTTTGTTTTGTATTTATTTGTTAAAAAAATAAAAAAAAATATATAAAAAAGTTATTAAGTTAATCTGTGACCTTTGGGACTCGAACAGGTAAAATTTGAGGGGTGTTCTACACTTAATCGCGTAAAGCTAAATTGTTTGGGACTGATTGGGTTGAAAGTTCACTACATGGGTTCCATAGAAAGTCATGAACTTAATAATAACAAATAAAGCTAATCCATGGCATTTGAGGTTCGGGCAAGTAAACCCGAGGGATCTCTTTAAATATAGCTCACTAATGTCATTTGATCTGGATTTGTTGGTTGGAAGCCCGTTACACGGATTTCAAAGAAAACCATGAGCTTTATTTGTAGAAAAATGTAATTAGAAAGTTGTATATATTTGTGTTCATATTTTAATTTAATAATATGTTTAGGAAATATTCTTGGCTGCCAAAAGATTCCTTTGGACTTGGATTAATTGAACTTATGACATTGGGACTGAATGTTAATTACTTTGACTGGTGTAAGTGGTTTGATATTTGTAACCAATATGGGTAAATATTACAGAATATTTAGAAGATATTTTTTAGAATAAGATTGTTGTTAATCAACAAATAGATGGAATCGGTCATTGTTATATTTTGTGAAACTAAGATGATTGAGCATGTTTTGTCACATACAATTTCACGAGAGTAAGACCATAATTTGTTCCATGAATTGAATTGATGATATTAAGAGGGAACAAGTGTTGTGATCTTTGATTTAGTTGAGTTCCATTAGGGAGTGGCTAAAGTCATATTTCTATTGTTATATAATTTGAGACTAAAGCCAAGTTGACTTAAGGCACGACATGTACATTCTCAACTATGGTACAAAAACAGGGTTAATTGGGTTGGATTCTTCTTCATCTTTGTTTCGATTTCTTGCATTAAGTTTCAAAAAGTTTTGACTTTGATTTTTTCTTTTCTTCTCCTTTGTTTTATTTTATCTAGTTTAAAATGTTCTTTTTCTTTCTTAAGGACAATAAAGGTTCAAGCTTGGGGAGGTTTGTTAGATGCATTTCATGCATCCATTTTGTAGTTTTACTCCATAAAAGTGCATTGCATATAGGTTTAAACTCATGCATGTTGCACATTTTTCAGGATTTTTCATGATGCAATTCCATTCACACATTTTTCTGATATTTCAGGAACTTTTGGAGGTAGGATCTTAGTTGAGGTGATGAATAAGACATATGGATGAAGTTTAGGGACTTGTGGAGCATCGAGGAAGAAGATATCAAGAAAATGAAGATTATTGCTTTACAGAGATTCACAAGGCCGTGTAAATGCAAGCCTTGTGTTTACACGGGCCGTGTAAACACACATTCATAAGCAATGTACTTCGAAGACCTGGCTAAATTGAGCAATATACTTTTTGTGCTTACACGACCGTGTAATTAGGTAGTGTTAGTTTAGATGGGCCATGTAAACGAGCTCGTCAGTTTAAATCAGTTCTTCTCTTTTCTAAAATGATGCAACCGGTTCCAGAAGAAAGCGGGTCGATTTTGTGAGTTCTAGGAGGTGATTTTGGGAGCATTTTCGAAGACAATTGTTGCTTGAAAACATTTGGATTTCACTTTGATTTTGATTTGTAAGGCTTTAACTTTAATTTCTAGGTTTGTGCTTGTTCTAGTCATGAGTGGCTAGAAACTTAACTCTCCAACTTCATCTATTGACAATTATGTGTATGAATTCAGTCATTTGACTTGGTGTTTGTTTTAAATTCTATCTAGTGAATTTGATTTTGTTTTAATTAAAGGTTTGATTTAAATTCTAGTTCTTTTTGGCGAATTGAGTTATGGTTAAATCACTCATGTTATCTATTATACAAAATCCGTAAGTGTTTTGTAAAATAGAACAAGTAACAAGTATTAAATCATACTTCTTGCAATGATTCTAGTATAAATCAAATTCACACATTATTACACTACCAAGCTTATGAGGAGTATTCAATGTTGTTGGTAAAATTCACATAAAGCATAATGCAATCTTTCACCTATTCTAAGAACTTGTTTAGATTAGGTTAGTTAGATTAGAATAAATTAAAGAGCTTATTTTAATTAATTAAAATGGTGAATAAGAATTGCTAGAGCTTATTAGCATTTATAATACCAAATTAGATGGAATTAAACAAATATCATTTCATATTTTGAATCACATTGCTAATTAGTCTTGCATAGAGTTGGAGTACTTACAAATCTTGAGTTTATTTTACTTAGTCCATTGCTTACTTATTACTTCAGTTCTTTATTTAAATCATTCCATCTAAACCCCTATTTTTATGATCTCATTTGTACCTTGTGCCAAAAGGGTATAAGCATTTATCTCGTGTCTCTGAGGATCGACCCTACTTACCTTGTATTACATTTTTAGTACAAAGTAGTAGTGTTTAAGGAGTCATTTGTACCCCTTTATTTGTTGGGGTTGACACGCTGAACAAATTGGCATCATTGACGGGACACGGTGTTACTAATTGTTTATGCCTTGATCTTTTCGTATAGGTACACCATTTCTAATTGATTCAGAGATAGAGAAAACTGCAAAGAAGTTAAGCAAGCAAGCCAAGCTCCGTAAGAAGCATCTGAGCTCCAGGACTTGTTCATCTTCTAACCCTACAGTAATCAACATTTGTGAGGACATACCTCTCTCAAGTGTGTCTGCATCTGAAACAGAAAGCCTATCACTCTCATCTCAACCATCCTTACCCAAAAATACCACTCCACCATCTTCACCTACTGATAATATCCCAAATTCTACACCCACAGAAACTTCAACCACTACTCACACCATGGGAGATAACCATGGAGGGAATCCACCTCCAAACCCACCACCTGAACAAACTCTCTGCCAATGGGCGAGGCAATAGGTTACTCAACAACCTCTTTGCATCACATATCCAGTTGCCACCAACTTGGAACTAAAATCCCGGCTCATCCACTTACTCCCAATATTTAGAGGCCTGGAAAATGAAGATACTCACAAGTTCCCCACCGAGTTCCATGTTGTATGTGTGGGCATGAAACCACACAATGTCATAGATAATCAAATCAAGCTTAGGGCATTCCCCTTCGCAGTGCAAGATGCAGCTAAAGACTGGCTATATGACCTTCCACTGGGGTTTGCTTCTAAGCAGGCTCATATGACCCATTATCTGAGGATGCTCAAGACCGACATCTGACAGTTTGTTTCGACCAAGAGATATGACACTTTGTTGGAACTACAGGAGGCCGCCAGGCAGTGTGAGT